GTCCTGCTGGAGCACACCCAGCCGCATGAGGAGCACATTCATCAGCTTGGCATCGCTGGGGCTCTCACCACCGCTGCCCACCGCCTCGCCCAGCAGCACCCCTGCACACTCGTTGTCCAAGCAAGCCTTCAGTCCAGAGGTGAAGCCGTTGGCATCCGAAATCAAGATGTCAATCGCTTTGCTGACAAGCATCGCCTGGTCCCGGATGCCCAGCAAGGTCTCCAGGTCCTTGGGCTTGAGCAGCTTGGTGGGACCATCAGACACCTTCCCACCGCCAGGCACCCTGTCCTGCCCGTCGGCTTCGCTGCCGCCCGTCCCGTCCCTCCAGCCGGTTGTGGGGATGCACTGTGCCGAGTCCCCGGCCTCGGCGTCCGTCTCCAGCATGGGCCGGGTGGTCTGGCAGGAGGCCAGGTCACAGCGCTGCAGGTTGGAGAGCAGCACACGGTTCTCATACTGCAGCTTCTTCACCTTGCCGCTCAGCTCGCTGATCTGCACCTTGGCCGTGGCCAGCTCCTCCTGCGAGGGCTCGCTGACCACCGAGCAGCTGTCCTCCGACAGCGTCACGTCCAGCTCGTGGTCAGACTTGTACTTGCTCAGCTCGTTCAGGAGGAGCTTGTTCTGGTCCTCCAGCTCCAGCAGTGAGCGCCTCAGCAGCTCAGCCTCCTCCTCCACAAACTGCAGGTGCCGGCGTAGCTCTGCCACCGTGTCCCCTGCATCCCCACAGCTGGAGATGCCCACCAGGAACCGCGTGTCCTGCCCCGGCAGCTCTCGGTCCCCCTGGCCCTTCATGTCATCCATCTCTGCCCGCAGCCCGCGGTTTTCCACCTCCAGCTCCACTATCCTCCGGCTGAGGATGTTGGCCTCCTCCTCCACCAGCTTGAGGTGGACCTTCAACTCAGCCTCCCGGGAGTGGGGAGAGTCAGCCAGCTCCTCCACGGAGAGGGAGCTGTCGGGACCTGTACTTCAGCAGCTCCTCCTTCATGCCATCATTCTCCTTGGCCAGCTTGGTCAGCTTCTTGCACATCAGGGCTGACTCCTCCTTGGCAAAATGCAGCTGGCACTTCAGGTCTGCACTGTCCTCCTGGGGATGGAGATGGCATGGATGTTAGAAAGGCACTCCCAGGACTCACGGTGGCTGCAAGCGAGCCCTGGGGACATGCCACCCTCCCACCCCAGTCACCCTGGGGAAGCTGCAGCCCTCACAAAAAGTTCTGAGATCCATCTTGGAGGCTTTCAGGGACAGCCTGGAGATGGGGCAGGATGCCTGGGCAAGGGAACCTGTGGCTCTGACCCCAGGAAGGACATCAAGCCACCACCAGGGATGTGGGGACCAGCCCAAGCCACTGCAGGGCAGAGGGGGAAGGAAAGCTGTCACATTTCACAGGGCAGAATAAAAGCCACCAAGATTTCCTCCCAAAAACTGTCAAGAGCTAAAACAACTGGCACTGCTGCCACTGCACCCTCTCACCAGAACTCTGCTCCTCCCACTCAGCCCCAAATGCTCCATCACAGGGTGGAGAAGCAGTGGTTTTGACTGGAAATGTCTCCAAGTCCCAGTCCTTGCCCAGCCCTCAGCCTTGCTGCCACCACCTTGCCAGGGACAGAAATCCCAGGCAAAGCCCCAACATCAGCTCACTGATCCCTGCCCAAGCCCCTTTGCTTCTCAGAACCATTTCTCCATGTGGTTTGTTTTAATCCAGCAGTAGGATCTCGGCTATTTGCCCAGTTTCTCCGCTCTGGGAAGCTTTTTGGATGGAGGACCAGGATTTCCTGACGTCCACCTCGCAGCTTCCCGTGCTGTGGGGTCACTTGAGTGCTCTGACCCCCAGTGTGGTGCCTGCCAGGAGGGGACCTGCTGGGCCGTGACCCTCACCCTGTGGCACTCACTGGAGTCAGGTGGGTGCTGGAGGTGACTGAGCCCTTTGGCTGGGTGACTGCTGGCCCTGGCAGCCCTCTGCCTGGCTGGACTCATCCAGTTTCCCTTTTTGCTGGCTGGCAGAAACAAGCTGTCCCCCA